CCCCTCGGCCTGTGCACTTGGGGCTCCACTGAGCCCTCCCACATGTCTGCAGTCCCCTCTGTTCCTTGCTGAGCAATGGTCCATTGTGCAGACGGGCCATTGTCTGTTCACCCAACCAACTGATGATAATAAACAAAGCTACCCCCCACACATCAGTCAAGGAGATAGCTCAGAGGTATAAGAGCCTGTCTGGCAAGCGTAAGGTCCAGAGTTTAATCTCCAGTATTGAAAAAAACAAACACCCCACCAAACCAATGAAGAAAACAGTACAAGGAGTATCAGGATAAAGAAATCATACTGAAAATAGGGCCAAAGCATGAAAACTTTTTATAGTCCAATTATGAACCAAGAGAGCCACAGGAGATTTTTGATCAAGAGAATGACATGATCAGAGTATGCATTAGGAAAATAATGATTGCCAGAAAAGCCTAAAACAGATTATGAAGGTTGAGGCCAGGATAAAAATTAGTGACAGACTGAATGACAGAAACTGGTTCTAAAACCCTAAAAGCTGGGCATGGTGTCACAGGCCCATAATCCCAGCACATAAGAGGCTGAGGCAGAAGGACCACAGTGGGAGGTCAGACGCACTACACAGTGAGGTCAAGGCCAGCCTGAACTACACAGTGAAACCTTGTCTCAAAAACAAAAGGAACTAAAAAAAATAGCCAGAAAGGAGAAGAGTTGCCTTTATGTTATCCCCACTATACATATGGTTTTTACTCTGTAAATTCTCTGACAGGTTCACTTCTTAAAAAAGAGAAAGTCAGCACGCGGACTTCTGCTTGCAGGAGATGAAGCAGACACACTTCACCTATGTCACAGGCATTCTGTACAAAACATAGATGAAAAAGACTCCAAGACAACAGGCATCTTGGGACCTGAAGGACACAGTGGTGAGCCCTCTGGATATTTTTGGTTGCTTTCGGTTTTGCTACACTTATACCAGACTAAATAATACAGAAATCAGCACCCTGAATAGCCACCAAGCAGACAAAAAGAGCCCCAAGAAAAGCATTTTTTTTTCTCCAGCCAAAGGAGCAGAGCAGTCTAGAAAGACAAAAAAAAAAAACTTAAGACAGGCCAGGGAGATGGCTCAGTAGAATAAGC